ATGGGTTTGTACGTTAAGCCAAGAATGATTATGATGGGGGTGTGTTTTGTTTCATTAATGGAGATGAAAATATGGTTCAAATGTTTTAGTTGTGTGTACTTTAAGCCAGCTTCTGGTCCTCCCCAAGCTACCTTCACCAAGGTAATCTCTTTATTATGCAACAGCTTCACTTTCTGATCCTCTATCGACATGGGTGATGCCTCAACAGTCAGGTTATCTCTCACCTGCACATCATCCACTTGGATCACATGAAACGGATTCGGAATGTATCTCCTCAACTGAGGCACATGATTCACATCATGAAGATTAGAAAGCAACGGTGGGAAGTCAATCTGATCGGATATTTCTCATATCTTTTGTATAATCTGGTACAGACCGATGAAATGCAGTGTAAGCTTTCGAGAATTCAAATCTCGACCAATAACAACTATTGGAGTAACCCTCATAAATACATGATCTCCTTCCTAGAACTCAAGTGCTTTCCTTTGTTTATCAATATAACTCTTTTGTCGACTCTGAGAAGCTCTCATCTTCTCCTGAATCACTTTAATCTTATCTATACTCTATTACACAATCTCACGTTCAATCACATCACTTTTTCTCGACTCATACCAACATAGAGGTGTCCTACACCTCCTACCATACAACGCATCAAATGGTGCCATTCCAATACTTTAATGAAAACTGTTGTTGTAGGTAAACTCTATCAACAATAAAAAGATATCCCAAACACCTCCTTATTCTAGAACACAAGCTCTCAACAAGTCTTCTAAGAATTGGATAGTCCTCTCTGTCTAACCATCTATCTGCGGATGATAAGTAGAACTCAAATGTAACTTCGTACCTAAAGCCTTTTGCAAACTCTCCCGAAATCCATACGTAAACCTGAGATCTTTGTCAGATATAATACTGGATAGAATCTCATGCAAACTGACAATCCTCTCAATATGCAACTCTACTAACTTCTCCAACGGATGGTTAAGTCGAATCAAAATGAAGTGAGCCGATTTAGTCAATCTATCCATAATAACCAAAATAGTATCATAACCTTTCATTGTCCTTGGCAATCCGAACACAAAATCCATCGAAATGTTGTCCCATTTCCACTCAGGAATAGACAACGGGTGCATCAAACCTGACGGTTTATGATGCTCAACTTTTAACTTCTAGCAAGTTAAACATGCATACACAAATTCAATAACCTCTTTTTTCATTCCAGACCACCAAAAGATCTTCCTTAAGTCTTGATACATTTTAGTAGCATCGAGATGAATACTCAAAACACTTCAGTTTCCTTCCTCAATAATAATCTTCTTAAGTCCAGGCACATAAGAACACAAACTCTATCTTTGAATATGATCACGCTATTATCGTCGATTTTGAAATCACCACCTTGACATTGATTGATTAAAGCTAATTGATCAACAAATCCTAAATCAGTCCTCTAACCTTCCATAATCTCTTCAAGAACACTATTAGTAAGCTTCAACATACCTAATTTCACACTCAGCAGTGTAAATTCTCTAAATTCCCTGATAAGCTCTTACTTTTTATCCATCAATGTCGACATATTCAACATCTTTTGACTCAATGCATCAGCTACAACATTGGCATTACCTGGATGGTAATTCAAACCAAAATCATAGTCCTTCAACAACTCAATCCATCTCCTTTGTGTCATACTCAATTCATTTGATTGAACAGGTACTTCAAACTCTTATGGTCATTGAACACTTTAAATCTAGAGCTAAACAAATAATGTCTCCAAATCTTAAGTATGAACACAACGACAACCATCTCTAAATCTTGCTTAGGATAATTCTTCTCATGAACTTTAAGTCATCTCGAAGCATAAGCCATAAATTGTCCATTATGCATCAACACACCACCCAAACTCATCTTAGAAGCATCATAATACACGCCAAAAGATTCAGTTGGACTCAGCAGAATCAACACAGGAGCAGATGTCAACCTCTTCTTAAGCTCTTGGAAACTCTCTTCACACTTCACATCCCACACATACGCCTAACTCTTTCTAGTTAGATAAGTTAATGGCAAAGCCAACTTACAAAAGCCCTCAATTAAATTTCAATAATAAATAGATAATCCAAGAAAACTTCGGATCTTACTAATAGAGTTAGAAGTCTCCAACCGCAACACAACCTCAACCTTCGATGGATCCATTACAATACCTTAACTAGAAACAACATTGCCGAGAAAAATCACTCTTTCCAACCAAAATTCACCCTTTGATAACTTAGCATATAATTGCTTCTCTTGCAATAGTTTCAACATAACTCTCAGATGTTCAGCATGCTCTTCATCCATCATCGAATAAATTAGGATATCGTCGATAATCACTATCACAACCTTATTCAAATACTGAAGAAATTTTTTATTCATATACTCCATGAATACACCAGGAGCATTAGACACACCAAATGACATCACTGAATACTCATAATGACTATACCTCATTCTGAATGCAGTCTTCGGAATATCTTTAGCCTCCACACGAATTTGTTGATAGCCGAATCTCAAATCAATCTGGCTGAAAACACAAGCACCTACTAACTGGGCCATCAAGTCATCAATCCTTGGAAGTGGATACTTGTTCTTAACTGTTACTTTTTTCAATTGTCGGTAGTTAACACAAAACCTCATACTATCATCCTTCTTCTTGACTAACAACACTGGTGCATCCCATGGAGAAACACTTGGACGAATAAACTTCTTTTCAAGAAAATCCTCTAATTGCTTCTTCATCTCGCTCAACTCTGTAACATACATTCGATAAGGAGCCATTGACACCAGACTCGTATATGGTACCAAATCTATAGAAAACTCAACCTCGCATTTTGGCGGCCAGTTGTTGGTTTCTTCAAGAAACACTTTTGGGAAATTCACACACCATCAAAAATTCACCAATCACAGTTTTACGACTGGCCTTCATAAAAGCTAATATCATAACATTGTAGCATCATCATTCATAAACCCACTCACTTGATTGGCTGATACGAGCAACTCATGACTTGCATCAAACTCTGGAAATGATACTGGCTCATCCAATAACCTGCACTCTTGCAAACAATGGTACGACGAACAAAATCTTCACACCTGAAACATCTCAGAGAAGTAGAAGTTTCTCCTTTACTTGTTTCAATCCCACTCATGTAGATAAGTGGTTAGAAAAGATAAATGAGTACCGACAGTGTTTCACACACATGTTGCGTACCAGGGAAAAACCAACACTTAAAATCCTGGTCGGACGGACTGACCTATTCTGATACCACTAATATAACACCCCTAAACACCACACATAAAATCATCATGGAATTTGATTAAACATAAGACAACTACTCAGGGTGCCACACATAACAACCACATTACCTGCTCCGTAACACGAGTTACAATAGAGTAGTTTAATACAAACATTTGTACTTGGGATGTTTATACGACATCCAACTCATCTCATTTGTACTTGAGATGTTTATATAACATCCAACTCATCTGATATGTGTTACGTACTCATATAATAAGAAATTCAAATCCTATCATCGCATACTCCTCCAAATGTTTAAGGTGTCATCACAGCGGAATCATTAATAAAATAATTAACAACAATTTTGCAACTCGTGACATTTAGTCTCATAAACGTTAACTTCATAATATAAGTAAAAAGGAGTTCGTAACAGACAACTTAAAACAACTTAGAGATCTCAACAACATAGATAGTCTTAGATTCAAACATAAACAACATAAGAATCAATTCAAGTGTTTATCCCCAATCCGATGTGACATGATTAGAGAAAGGTACCACTAGTCAAAGCAATAAACCAAAGAAGTAACTCCAAGAGCTATCTTCTACTTGCTTCAGTAATGCCACTCTTGAGTATCTGCACGATGCACATGTAAAGGCAACATTCAAACAGAAGGGATGATAAATCACATTCAATAATAACAGGCATATACTACAAGATAGGATATCAACACATAACATAATCTACACAATCTCAAATCAATTTTCTATGATAGGCAATTGATTATTATTTATGGCAATCGATTGCACTGTTATTTTTTGTCAAATTTTTAACTAATGCAATCAATTGCCGTTTGATGCAATCGATTCTCACCATAGATTTTCCTAAAAATTCTAGTCTTTCTTCCAATTTTCAACTTTAACCACCATCCAGTTCCAATTTTGTTCATTCAAAAACCACCCCATATATTTTATAACAATATCAATACATATATCACAATAATTATCATCAATTTATCCATTTTTCTCATGAATTAAAAACTTAGATTCATGTCCTAAATCATTAAATCTCATCAATTTTCATGGATTCAATTGATTTCAAGAACACAACTACATATCAACACACATAATTGCAATTCACATCATGACTTGTAAAATAGAAATATCATCACATTTTCATCAACATTCATCATAACTCAAAGGAAGAAAAACCTATAGAAGATTAAGAATCCATCCACCCTACCCTTCATACATATATGTATCATTGAAAACAATTCCCCACCCTTACCTTAGATTTCTCTTGCGAAATTCTTCTAAGCTCAACTAATGGATGTTCTTCCTATGCCTGATCTCTTGCCCTATCCTACTTTTCTTCTTTTTCAAGTTTTTACGTACAATGAAAACATATTCTCTTCTCACTTCTCTCTTTTTCAAATAAACTTATTTTCTCCTAATTAGATTTTCCCTCTTCTATCCCCAACTTATTCTCGTAATTACCAACTTGCCCTTAATTTCTCTACACATTATTATTTCTTTTATTTTATTTAAATAATAAAAATTAAATAATTATTTTAACTATAAAATAATTCTAATTTATTTTCTATTTTTTTAATCACTCAGATCGAACTTTAGATTACTTGAGTCTACTTTTTTAGGGGGTCCGAAAAGAATAAAAACACTAATAATTAAAAAAAATAATTAAAAAAAATTCAAATAAGCAATTAACATACTTACTAAATTGCTAATAATATGTCTCTGCAACTTCTTGAAAATATGCAAAAAGCTCTTGAGGTTTAGAGAACATGACCATGTGATCAGCATCAGGAATCACTTTGGCATCATTCCCAGGATTTTGTGTAAGCATTTTGTCTTCTTTACCCACAACGAAAACTTTAGCAACAGATCCCAAATTATCTTTTGTGACCGTTGTTTGCTCTTTAAATAGTTCTTGATCATCGAATGTATTCATAGGCCTTAGTAATGACATTGCAAGAGAAAAGTCCTAATTCATATATAATCAACATTATCAAAATAATGAATTATTATAAACATCTTATTTCCAAAATAATCTATATTAATTTTTCCAAAAAAAAAAAAGAGATTATAAGAGTTGTTTGTGATTAACATAAGCATATTGATTAGCCAACATACCTCAGGTGGAGATAGTTGATACATATGGGATGCTATGAATTCTGGGCCTAATATCATGGATCCTCTTAATATATTATTTAAGCTATCCTCAAATATACTCTTTGATTTAGAGTTGGAACCCTGCAGTTATCAAAATAAATATATCAAATGGAAGTTGTTTAACTCATGTGAGTAAGAAATATGAGAAAACACAAAACAAGAATAATTAAGTACCTCCTCAGGAGTAAGTGCTACAGATGCAACAAAGACACCAACTGCTATTTTCTTTGGAAAAAATTCCATAGCCATAGATGTACAAATCCCACCAAAGCTATGACCCACAAGGATTACCCTCTCCTCTTGTGGCAATGACCTTATAAAATCAATCAACGGTTCATAATATTCTGCAACAGAATTCAATTCAAGCACTTGTTTTGGATTGATACCAGAAGCAGCCAGGTCTAATGCTGTGACTTTATGTCCAGAAGATTTCAATAGAGTAACAAGCTTGTACCAACACCATGCTCCATGGGAAGCTCCATGAACCAAAACGAAATGCCTCTTATTATCCATGTTTCTTTCCTAGCTACTCTCTTGTTCTATATCACTTGTTTATAAAAGGAGCTACCAAAACCAAGCTTATCCAAAATGAAAGGATCGAAAATGAAAATGAACCCACCTACAAGATATCGCTCCCTGCTACCAAGCATTATAGTGCCTCCAAAATCCAATATGGTCCCGATATAGTCCACTTCACGTGATATATAGATTTTTATAGAATCATGAAGCAGTAAATAATTTATGATCAACATAATTTCTATAATGTTAATGATCATTTAGTCAAGTTTAACAATAGAGTGAAGGAATTTGTAACTGTTACAAGTTTAGAAAGAGATGTGTACCAAAAATGAAGCTGAGAGGAGGTAAATTAATGAAGATGTTATCAATTTTGTTTTTTTTAAGTCATGTTTTTTTTTATTTTTAATTTATCCTAAATGATTTATGGAGAGAATTTCGCATAATAAAAATCAAGAAAACTAGAGTTCTTTCGCGTCTTCGGTCTTGTCATATATGAAATACAACATTGGGAGACGAGATGCAAGATGTCACTTGCTCATTACAAAATTGCAAATGATTGAAGTGTCATTTTTAGGTTTCATATTTAGATCTTTTTGCCTAAGAATGTGTAGTTTAAATTTCTCTTCGTTGTCCTTACTTTACTCAATATGAGATAAACTTGCTTTGTTCGATAATGTGAAGTTTAATGAAGTAGTAATTTTTTTATTGTTATTAATGAGTTGTTTTGATATATTTTATTCATGTAAATATCATATGTTTATTTTTTTGTCTGACCACCTTAGAAGTAGATAACATTTTATTAGTATTGAGAAATTTTCTAATAAATACAATTTATGACAAATATGAATTAAAAAGCAAGTAGGAATAATTTTCCACTTTCATTACTTTATATAAAAGAAGTGTATGAATGTTATTGTGAAGCTTAAGAATAATCTCTCTAAAATATTAATGCATATATTTTGACGTTGTAAGTATATATCACTAGGTTACGCTCTAACCTCTAAAGGGGTATATTTACTAGAGGATTGCTCATCTAGTCATATATTTATCAACTATGTGGGTAACAAATTCAAAAGAAACTACCCATATAGTATCACATACAATTCATAATGGATGAATCACCCTAAATTTTCATGGTTCAACACTTCGAAATAGTTGAAACCTAAGTTCCTCCTGGTTTCTTCGCTCCTAACATGAATGTGGCAACCAATAAATAAGATCATATTTTGAAAACTTTCATTCAAGAAACAAAGAGACAACCTCAAGCTCAAGGGGTGAATATAAAAAATGTGGAGACTCAAATTGGTCAAGTAACTACTACTCTAAACTAAATGGAGTATGAGTAGCTAAAGCTCTATATAATATCAGAAGAAGACACTTCAGAAGATGAAATATAACAATCCACAACTATCAAACAAGCTTTGATTTATCAAATCCAAATATACATAAGGGGAAGTCTTTTAAAAGAATATTATTACATTTCAATTGACTTATTTTCATAGGAAAAATGACAAGCAAGATGTCTCAAAAGCTGTTGAGCACACCTTGGCTCATTTGATCATGTGTTTGATTTTAGAGTTTATTATAAATTTTGGTTCAAGTCTGGTCAGTCCAAGATTCTGCTGAAGTTGCTTTGAAAGAAAGATTTGATTGACAGATTTGTGTCAGCAAATTATTTACAAGATGTCTTGACTTGTTGTGAGACATCCTCGCAAACGTGCTACTCGGATTGGTTTTTGATTTGCTTCGGATTTTATTCAAGATTTGTTTAGATTTTAATTCTTCCAAAAGTCTACTAAGATTGCGTTAGAAGAATTATTTTAATCTAAACCAAGTTTAAAAAGATGTGATTAAATCATATATCTATTTGCAAAAGATTTTATTTGGATGTGTTTTAAACAAGATATTTTGGATTTTTATTTCATGAGAAGATATCTTACTTTTGTTAAAGATTATTGTTCCGGCCTGGGCCCCGGCTTAGTCAGGCAGGCCCAGCCCAATAATATCCTGCCAAGCCTAGTCCAGCTGGAACTGCGGCCTCCGAGCACAAGGTCCCCGGCGGACAGGGAATGCCTCTCCGCGAGCAGGACCTGCCCATCTGTATCGAGCGTAAGGCTCTCATCCCCAGACGATGCCCTCTCCGCGGGCAGCACCCGCTCCCCTGTCGGGCAGGACAACGTGTCTTTCAACGTTCTCCACGTGCTCCCCTCCGCGGGGACACATCACCGACCAACTGCCCGCTTCTGAAAGAGCAAGTCAAACCCACTTTCCGGGGATCACGGGACAGTTGGACTAGGGCGAAGACCACGTCCTGGTCTTCACTACGCCACGTAAGCCCTAGCAGTCACCTGGGTTGGGTCTGACAATTCAGCCCAACACAAGTGACCGTTGGCCCAGCACCGGGGTCTCTCTATAAATACCTGTTGCACCCCAAAATTTGACCAACATTTATTTACCCATTGAGTGTTTGGAAGTGGATACCTCCATCAGAAAGTTCAAGAGATCCCCAGAGAAGTGGGTTGAAACCAGGGTTGTGTGCCTCCTAACTTGAGAGTTGTGGGAGCTCCTCAGATGATTCTGAGACTTTGAGAATGAATTTGATGATTTGAGAAAGCCTATGAGATGTCTTGAAAGCCATCATGAAGCCCAGAGAAGTCATTATGCAAGAGTTCAGAGGATTCAACCATGAATGGTAGAATTAGGGTTTTGACTGGGTCGACCCTAGGATAACTGAAGATTTGGAGAAGGTTGAGACCTAATCCAAGGGCCATGAGATCATGGAATGATGCATAGAGATGTTGTAAATATGATTCCTAGACCAACTCATCATGATTGAGGAGTTTGAGAAGTTTTGAGCTAGGGTTTCCAAGGATTGTCAGTGAAAAACCCTAATTTGATCCCTATCTTCCAGGCAGTTTTAGCTCTAGATGTGATTGATATATCACTTTCCCCACAACATGAATGTTGTAGAGCTTGTTCTTAGCTTTAATTTGAGTGGTGGAAGTCCTTGATAGGAGTTACAGAGCTCAAGTTATGGTTTTGGCAAATTACAGGTCAGCAGAGGTGTGTGAATCTGGGTCCTTGAAAGTCACCCAACTTGCAGACAACTTTTGCCCTAGTAGGATGACTCCTATGATTTCTTGGTCAACATGAATGTTGAAGAGGATCTTCTTAGCTTTAATTTGAGTGGTAGAAGTCCTTGATTGGATTTGTGGAACTCAACTTATGGTTTGAACAAGGCAGGGGTATTTTGGTCATTTGTCAGTTATAGGTCATTTTATCCAATGCCTAAAACTCCTATTTCCAAGCCTCAAATGGAAAAACTCAAAACATGAAAGTTGCTCAAAATGTGATTTTAAGTCTAGAAAGAAGGTCACAAATTGTTGGAAAAGCTCATAGCACAAGATTACATGATTGGTCAAAAATGAACTAAAAAAGGCTTATAACTTTGAAAAGTTGAAATTGAAAAGTGATTTGGAAGATCCACAAATCCAAAATAGGTCATCCAATATATCATTTTGATTGGAAAACCCATTTTGAGAACTTTGGTTTAAATAGATTTTTCATTTGAGGTCTAAAAATGGGTGATGCTTTGAAAAGTTATTACTTGAAAAAGAAGGCAATGTTGAAAAACCCTACATAAGCCAAAAATGAACTTGTTTTTCACTCATCCCTTCTCAATATCTCACATAAGGACATTTTAAGACAAAATTGCAAGGCATAACATATGAGATATGAGATAACCAACTTGTCATCACATGAGAATTTCAAGAAGTTTCCATCACATTCTAGATGAATCTAGACACATCCAATGATCATTATAAGAAGGATGATCTTCATAGAGTAAAAGGTTGGTGAAACTTGAGTCAAGTCAGAGGAGAGAGAGAGAGAGAGATAGCCATTAAAGCTCTTGCTTCAAGTTCAAGCAATCCAAGATATCTTGCACTACCAGCCATCTCCTTCACAACCATTGCAAACAGAAGACTGGTGATCATCCAAGGATCATCTAGAAGCAATTCCAAGGCTTGAATCGTGCTCTACATCACTCCACCATAACCTCTTGACAGGTTCTTTCTTCTCCTTGTATCTCTTAATTTAATGGCTTTCTTTTAGCTTTATAGGTATAGAATGAATGTATTAGGGTAGATGACCAAATACTGAAAGTTAGGGCACGATCCATGATGGTTTGTGACAGGTGCATAAATCTTTGATGTGCAAGAATGAACTGTGTGCTAGGCTTTAATCAGCATGGAATGGATTATAGTGATTAGGGTGGCATATGGAACAAGATTGCAGCTTTAGTTTTGAGTTTAATTAGGGTTGATCTCAGAGAATTATTTTGAACCATGATCTTTAATCCCTCTGTTAGAACAACCTAGGCAGAGTTAATGAAAGGTGAGCGCATGGCTGTGTTCTAGGCATTTAGTAGAGCATTTTTTGTTTTGGAATCTTGTTGAATCATGGCGTGTGGAGAGAGATAGAGGAGCTCGAAGATTTGAGTGCATGGGAGAGGGTTCTGAAAACCCTAAGTTTTGGTGGGGACGATGAAGGAGAGTCCTTGGATTCATTCCAGATTTTGACTAATTAATCAGATCTAACGGCCACGGTTAAATCTGAGAGTTGGAGGGAAATGTCATAAGAAGCGAAACGCAGTCGTTTCACTTAAGGGCGTTCTGGGCTTAACGCGCTATTCGCACCCCCCCTTATTGCTGGCCCAATTATTTTCAACTGGCGCGTGTTTCTATTTGTACCCCCCTCCCTTTAATTAATTTTAATTCTTTTATTTTCTTCTTTTATTTTTTCTGTTTTGATTAATTCATTAAAAATTGAGAAAAAATGATTTTTTAATTCTTTTTTTTTTCTATGATTAGATGAAAATGTGTAGAAAATTATAAAAATAAAAATGGGATTTTATTTTTTAGTCTAGTATTTTTAATAGATTTTCCAAATAAATAGCTTTTAAATAGTCTTAATTTGGTATTTGATTTTGTAGG